TCTGTAATTATAATGAATATATATTATTTATTCATAATAATCTATATATATAATATACTATATTATATAATAACAGGATCAGTATAAGAGAAACAAAAATGCTAGAAGGTAGGCCTAAACTATTTCTGATTCTGACAAAAACTATTTAAAAGGTTCTACGCTATGAGCTTCTATGCTAGCGTCGTCAAAGTCATATAACATCAGCGGTGGTCTTGTAATTCTTTCCTGAGAGCAGAAGCTGCGTTTTGTGGGATTCAAACCCTTAGGAGCACGATTGCATCGCCCCAAACGTAAAGCTGACAATGAAAGAAGCATGGCAGATGCTATAGATTAAGGCCAGCGATTTAAGGTCGATATGGAAGCGTCCAGGTTTCCAGTAAATTAATTCACAGCACAGCTGCATAATAAGAAACGCTTCCAGAACTAAAACGCACATTGCTAATATTGAAAGTTGACTCTAAAGCGAGCTTAGCAGTGAACAGCCTTCTGCGCTCAGATTGACCTATTTCCATCCCACAATATTGTGGGCTCGAGGAAACATTTTTGTACTCTCTATACTACAGTCTTGTATATCGCCTCGTCCTTGAGCTAGAAATTGAAATGTTGATCTTCTTCTCGCGACCTCCCAATGCGCTCCATAGGGCTAGTGTCCCCAGGGTACTGCCCGGAACTACCTGCCGCTACGTTCTCCAGGCGCGGTACAGGGAGGGTGGTGGCGTCCAGGGGGGGGGTCCGGGACCCCTCCCCTGCTCGAGCAGAAGCAACGCATCTATAAGGGAGGTTGAATGTTAAAAAAAAATAATTTTGTGGGCTCCCCCCCCCTTCAAAAAACATCCTGTACACGCCCCTGCGTCCGGTATACCGGAACTACTCCTGGTAACTATATCTGATATGGTTAGTTAGCGTTAGGTTAGGAGTAGCGTAGGGCGACTCCCTAGCACTCGGTAGTTGGAGTAGCGCGAGTACGTCCGTCATATTAGATCAGTACATGCTACCAGGGTATACGTTCCGGTATACGCAGAATACCCAGGGTACGTTCCGACAGTCCCTGGGGGACATATATAGAACCCTTCTCAGACGTCGCAAGGTCCTGCATGCCATTCTAGTGCAGTGACCGTGAGGATATTCGGAGCTGACCTCATCCGGCCGGCATTTCATTTGTGGGTCGTATGGTGCGCATCAAAGATACACACAAATTTTGTCTCTACTTTATAACGAAACTCTCATTCGGAGTTTGACTGGAACCCCCGTGACCTCCAAGTCCAATGACCTCTAAAGTCAACAAGCGCCTATCATACGAACTTCCGCAGTCCCGGGACCCCTGCCGAGACAATTTTCAGCCCCCGATGACCACCGCGTTGCGGTCGCCTACAGAGTTACAGGGCCGGACAGTTTCTGACAGACGAACGGGAGCACGAAGCCGGTCAGACTGAAACTAATCATCGGAAATATTAGTGTAGACGTAAGAGCTTACACGTGATACGGAAGCAACTTGGTCTTGTATTTAAATTTACGCACATAAAGTGCTTACTTTTCTTGCGCATAGAGGGCCAGACAACGTAAGTACAACGTATCTGTGCCTCGCCAAGCCCTGAGCGCTGAGCCAATATCCCGATACATGTGGTGAAGAGTTTGAACCTTGAATTGTCGAATCGTAATAATACTAATACTAAATATGACTAATAGTATTGATACTGATTGAAAACTCCATGTTTCTTACTGCAAAAGTGTCAGTGTGACGCCTCTAGTCTCAACATAGGCGGACCACGTGCAAGTTAATTTGCGCCAGGCACAACGCTTGTGCTGCCAATGTGTGCATAATCAAGTTCACATTCAAACAATTTATTTAGACATCACCATAATTTGCAGGTTGCAGAATCCACGTTTAGGCACCTTAAGGTATCACGTAAGTATTGCACACGATGTCTGTGTATCACTTCAAACTGTAGCACAGAATTTCCCGATATATCAAGGGAATGATGCAAAAACCTAACCTCTTAACCCTAACCCCTACCCATACACCTAAGCCCATCCCTAAACCCCTTAACCCGAACACACTTCGTGATACCTAAGGAGTAAGGTTATACTTTATGACTTAAGGTTAGGTTTAGGTTTTTGCAATCATTCCTTGATATACGGAAAGTCTGTGCATCAGTGATGAATACACAGAAATCTGTGCATCACTTCGTGATACATAAGCGTGCCGTAAAGGGATCTTTGCGCCAATTTGCAATACAATTGCATGCAGAAAAACATGTATTTTGAAGGGTGGAAGGTGGTATTCTCGAAAGAACCATAGCGCGTCATCCAGATGAGACGGATCATAGGAAGCGTTTGCCGAAAGAGGTGTTATATCGCAAGTGCTTGCCGATCTGCGCGCAGCTCCGCGGCCAAGCGCACGCGACCGCGGAAAATTCCACCTACGACAGTATGCACGCTGCAGCTAGTGGACTCCGCTGCGCCGAAATTGCATAGGCCGCCAGAATCCATAGCTGCCCAGCGAACAGTCCGCAATTTTACTGGGGGCGATACACTTAGAGCGGCAGACCATTGGCTGATCCGATCAAGAAAACGTGATAGCAGTGTTCAATTGTTATTAAAACAACTGTACGACCGAGTTCAATGTGGTTCTTAAAGCGAGCCTGGTCAACTGGCTCCGAAATCACAGAAAAGACTGGTTAGAAATTTCTACATTCGCGACCCTTGCCATAATGGAAATGGGCTGTCAGAATCACGAGAACACCTATCCGGCCGCTCGTTCGTGAACCTTCAATTGTTGCGCCCCAACGCTGGAACGTCTTTTGCCAACGTTGAGTCCAATGGCGAGCCTCGTACACAGGAGTGCAAAGCAGTGCGCGCCTGCCCCGCCCCGCGCCGTATAGCCGCATAGGACTGCCCCACGTCGCTCCCACTCTCGGACTTAGCTTACGCACCTCGATGGCTAATCGACTCGTGGGCGAGTCCTAGTCTATATAGCCTTGCACCTCGCACACCTGTCTCGACAACGAGAGTATATGGTCTTATACTAGGAAACAATTAAGCGAATTGGCTTAGCTAAATAATTAATCGTATTTAGGTTTGCATGATAGTGTCTATGACCTTCAAGAAGTGTCTGTGTTCCTAGTATAGGCGTATTACGAACGTTAGCAAAGAGGCAGTTCTCCTTGGAGCTTATGAGTAGCTTATAGCTACTAGCTACTGAGTACTAGTCAGTACTAGTACTGAGTAGATAGTGCAATACTATACTATTAGCTCCTGCCGTCCTTGGTAGTAACTATAGTATTATTCAGTATCTAGAGTGCTTGGTAACTTAGCTCAGTTACTACTACTAGAGTTAGTAGCTTAAATTACTAGCTAATATTGTAATCATTACTCTTAGTAATAGGAAGTTATTTCGTAGGTGTCTGCGAATGTACAACAGTATAAAGCTTTTATAGCGCCGGACGCCTAGCACCATGTGTCAGCTTTTGTGTTCACACAGGCCAGCTGAGTTACAGTTCTATACCAGCATAGCACCATGTGTCAGCTTTTGTGTTCACACAGGCCAGCTGAGTTACAGTTCTATACCAGCATAGCATCTGTGGTCGTGGAGATCCCTGCAGTGCTGATGTTAATGGACTTTGATCATGTGAGGGCGACCGTTGATCACAACCTCCTGATCGCCCTCCTCGCGGACGGAGTCTTCTTCCACTTCCAAAGCATTACCGCCTACGTACTGATGAGTTACATATCTCCCGTCACACACAGGTACATGTCGCGTGTCACATGCAGGAAAATCTCCCCTGTCACACACAGGTCAATTCTTATGTCACACACAGGTCAGTGTCTTCTGTCAGACACAGGTCAATGTCTTCTGTCACACAGGTCAATGTCTTCTGTCACACAGGTCAATGCCTTCTGTCACACACAGGTGAATGTCCTTTGTCACACACAGGCCAATGTCCATTGTCACATGAAGGAATACGTCCCCTGTTACACACAGGTCAATGTCCTTTGTCATACACAGGTGAATGTCCTTTGTCACACACAGTTCAATGTCTTCTGTCACACACAGTTCAATGTCCCCTATCACACACAGGTCAATTTCTTCTGTCACACAGAGTTAAATGTCTCTCGTCGCATACAGGTAAATGTCTCCCGTCACACACAGGTAAATGTAACCCATCAGATAGAGGTGTGGCATATTGTTCTAGTATTGTTGCGTATATAGCTAACAAGATAATGACTCGTACACATTCCCCCATCCACGTATTTGATAGTGCTATAACTTTGGTACGTAACAATTTAATGACGTACAGAAAAAACAAACAAACATGGCAGTATGTCAAGGTGATGACTGTGTTTTGTTTTAGTGTCGCCAACACTGTGAAGAGGGCGCTGCTCATCTGGTTGTCGGTGATCGTGTTCGGTAACTCTGTGACGGTGCTTAGCGCGGTGGGCACGGCCATTGTTCTCGTCGGAGTGCTCCTCTACAACCAGGCGCAAACTCATGATCTGGTCCGGCGTGCCAAACTAGACGTGCTGAGGCAGGCAGTGACTGTGTGAGCGCACCACACAACTACTCGGCAGCGTGACTGTGTGCGCAGCAGTGCTGAGAGCAGCAGTGACTAGTGTGAGCGCACCACCGTGTGTGAGCGCAGGCCAGTGACTGTGCTTGAGCGCACACGTATTGAGGCGCAGTGATGTGTGAAGCTGCACCAACGTGTGAGCGTCCAGGCCAGTGACTGTGTGAGCGCGACCAGCGTGCTAGAGGCGGCAGTGATGTGCTGAGCGCACCAACGTATGAGCCAGGCAGTGACTGTGTGACGCGCCGCACAGTGCTGAGGCAGGCAGTGACTGTGTGAGCGCACCACGATGCTGAGGACAGGCAGTGCCTGATGTGAGGCGCCACCACGTGCTGGAAGGCAGGGCAGAGTGACTGTGTGATGCGCCGCACAGCTGAGGCAGGCAGTGACATGTGTGAGCGCACCACGTACTGAGGCCAGGCAGTGAATGTGTGCAGCGCACGCAATGTCATGAGGTCAGGCAGTGACTGTGTGAGCGCACCACGTACTGATCGCAGGCCAGTGGACTGATGTGACGCACGCAGTCTGGAGCGCAGGCAGTGACTGTGTTGAGCGGAACCACGTTGCTGAGGCATCGGCAGTGACTGAGCGCACCACGTGACGGAAGCAAAGGATAGTGATCATGCGAGGCTGCGCCACGTGCTGAGAGAAGGATGCAGAAAGGTGTTGCGGGTTTTGGGTATAGACATCTTACACCTAGCCATGGCCAACTTTCTTTAAGTCAGATTTGCAAGTGGCTACGCTTGTCTACACAATCTGATTGGTTAATGAAGTCCAGGGTGAACTTTGCTACCACAGAGTGTGTCATAGATGGTTAGTGAGGGTTTCCTCTTCTGTGCAATGATCGTGGTTATATTTTAGGGGAAAAGAAGTATCTTGTGTACACCAGGGTGCTACTACAACTGATCACTGTTATACTACCTGAGGGCCCATTGTCAGAGTTAGTCTTAACATTAGTGTATAGTTAAACACACACACACAGATTGCACTTACTTTAGCGATGTGTTACTGACAATGGGCGCCCTGTCCTGGCCATGTTGATGTCTGTTTACTATATAGAGCTAGGTAAAGCTTCATCATAAAATGCACAATGGTTGCATACTTTAATCTCTTTGTGAAGTTTCTCAAATGAGCTGGCTTGGCTTTATTTAATGATCAATTGGGAAACCCCATATTCTTTTAAGGGTTTCAGCAAAAACACTTTAATTTTGTAGCATTGTTTTTGTCTCAGTTTGTCAACGTGACATTGGCAGTCAAATTTTCTGGAACACAGAACTAATCTTTTCACAAATATCCGTCGGGGGAAAATTAAATTTAATTAAAAAAAGAAAATTTCAGACGACTTCGGGAATGGAAAACATTGTAATCAGTAAAAGCTTATAATAATGGGGAGCAGTCATTTCATTTAAAAAAGTGTTTTGTTAACCTGCATGAATGTGCCAGTGCCAGTTATGCTTATATATATAATATTATATATGATACATGAATATGTTTTATATATCATATATTATACTATATAATATTATTTATGTATATAACTACCTACTATACTATTGAATATATGATTATATATAGCTATCCACGAGTACATAATAGGAGGAGGTGTGAACAACAATAACAAGGAAATTCGTCATTTCGGTAAGCCTTTCAATGAATATACGATCGTTACTGTGACGGCGTAGCGCAACAACTTGAGCTCAAATCGGTCACATCAGTACACATCCTCTTCCCATCGTCTGTAAATGTTTTCCGTAGTATAACACCTCATCCGGAGATACACAGAACTAAAAACGTCCCCACGATTTTCAGATTCTGTTGGCCAAGAGCAAAATCATGTGGCGAAGTAAGCTATTTGACAATACAAAAAGGAGCTACTAACCACACCTGTCCACGGCTTGCCGCCTCACAGCGCGAGGCGCTGTGGCTCGCAGGACGATTCACGTGGAAGCAGCGAGTGCCTAACACAAGATTATGTTTTTGATATACTCATGATGTGGCTATGGTGCGGGTGTGCGGTTGGAGCACGGCTGAGCCGGGCTGCTGCAGAGCCTGCTGCTGATATGCGGTGGGGGGTGCATACCACCTGGTAATAGGCGTCCAAAGCAAAGGTTATCTGCGCCGAGTGTTGGGTTTGAGCTAATCACCTCACCGGCTGCGAGCCAAGCGCTCCGCCGTGAGCGGCAAACCGTGGACAGTGTGTTAGTAGCTTGCGCTTTTGTTTCAAATAGCTATTCGCCACTGGATTTTGCTGTGCAACCAGTAATTGACATCGTGTGGTATCACGTTTTAGTCCCTGTATCTTCCCGTATTGAGGGTGTACTACTAGGAAGGGGGCTTTCACACGATGGTAAGAGGATGTACTGTGTACTGATTTGAGCTCAATTGGTTGCGTTACGCGTATAAATCGTAGGTTATTATACAGCAAGTAAATGAGAAATTTCCTTGTTTATTGTTGTCACATCCCTCGCCTATATATGTACTCCTGATATATATATATATAGTATATATAATATATATATATATATATATATATATATATACATATATATACATATTCTAACATATGAGATACTTGGGGTGTAGGGGTTTCAAACGATGAAAAAGTGATTGGTAACTGTTGCACGAAGGGTCGTTGTCGTATCAGGTACTACATATATGTACCCGAGGTGTGTATATGTATACGTACGTATATGTACGTATACGTATATATGTATATGTGTTTAGGGTTAGGGTTAGGGTACACTTCTGTATACATCGTATACACTTATGTACCTCGGGTACATATATATGACAACGACCCCTTCAGCGTAACTGTTGTAGTTAGTAATGGTCATTCCTGAATAATATTTTTTATAAATCTATGTTTAAATAACTTTTAGTGAAGATGTTTACTAAGTACATGGAGTACAAATATATATATTTCTAGGACCCCATGTGCAACATGACTCGAGAATTTCTACAAATTGGTCTAGTCGCCATTTCATTCGTAGTTGTCATTTATCTGTGGCCAGCTTAGTTTATACATTGGCCGGGTTGTTTCTTATGGGGGTTTCAGGCTGAATTTTATATTGATCCTGTGTGTCAATTAATTATTTAATTATGTATTAGTCCCACGATGTTTGAATGTTTGTGTGCGCTTAAGTCGGATAAGTGTACCCCTTACTTTATACATTAGGAACATAGACCTATTTGATAACATTTCTTATTAAACAGTCAGTAGCTATTTAGCATGAACATTTTTCTAATAAATGATACCATGAACATATCTATACAATAGATTGTGTATGTGTGCGTGCGTGCGTGCGTGCGTGCGTGCGTGCGTGTGTGTGTGTCCATGTCAACATTGTGCTCTTACGCTTAATTGTTGCTCTTGTGTTATTACACGTCTAACACGTACGTTTCACTTGAGATAGTTGAAACACGCGGCAAGTGTGACCACGTGTTGTTCACGTAATCATGAATATATCTAGTAGTACAGGTTGATCCACACTAATCCAGATAGCTTCAGGGGCGTGTACAGGATTTGTACCGGGGGGGGGGGTCTAACCGTAACCCAAACTTGCAAGCACGCGCAGGGGGGGTCTGGGGGCCCGCCCCCAGAAAATTGTTGAAATTAGACCCCCTTAAATGCGGTTTCTGCGCGAGCAGGGGGTGTCCGTACCCCCTGGACCCCCCCCCCCTGTACACGCCCCTGTGCTTGGGATTAAACCGTGCAGTTCCTGATTAGTGAAAATTCTGAACTATCAAAACAGGTTAAAAAAGGCAAAATAATGCTTATGATCGATTACTACCTATATATGGACCTACTTATGACAAAGTGTTAGTGTCATGGTATGAAGTTACAGTGCTGTACTGACAAATCATAACACAGCTTTAAGTAGGTAAATAGATAGATGGTATTAAACCAGCAATCGCCTGTTTCAAGTCGTCATTCCGAACCACCAAAGCCACCAAGCCACCAAAGCCAAATCTGGCGTAAACTGTCGGATTACAGATTAGTGTGGTTCAACCTGTGTATATAGCTATCTTCATGCATGTTGGAAGTTCAGTTTCCTGCCGGTGTCACCTTTTGTCTGTGTGATGTACATATTTTTAGTGAATCATAAAATTAAAAGCCATGCAAATTGGCTGAGAAGCGGTAACAATTGAACAGGAAACAAAGGACATATATGCTACTTTCCACTCTATAGAATGTATATATGCCAGAGCACAGAGCAGCAACTGGCCTTGAGTTTGTTGTCCCAGTCTGTAGTATCGCTCTCTGAATAGATCTGATGTTATTCGAGCGTTGGTAACCGAAGCATTTGTAAGTAAGAACATTACTTGTGGTATCATGTCAACAATAAGACGTTTTTGTCAGACAGATTTTGTCGATAAAATCTGTGCTGTTGTTGATGGTCTATGACTTTAGAGTCTAGACTACAGTGATAATGTATGAATATGAGAGGCAGTTGTGTGGTGTAGCCTCCCATTCTTGTGTACACTTTACAGACGTCGTTGGTGAAAGTAAGCGCTAGTCAGTTGCAAACTTGCTATTACCATGAACATGTGTATACTATATAAATATATATATTAATACGTATGTTCATGCTGTTACCATGAGATGTACGTTTTGGGTTAGACATAAGTTAATACCACTATGGGGAAAAACATATTCAACAGGGTTGAATCGACTGTTGCTATCACTGGGTTTGTGCATCGATTGCACGTTTTTGTGAGTATTCGGTGTATATGTTCATCGTCTTACCTTTTGACAAGCCACAACATTTTTTGTTAATTTTATAATTCTACTATTTCTAAGCGGTGCAATAGATATTAGATAATATACCATTGTTTTTCATACAAAATGTTTATTCTCATTATTATTACAACGAACATATGCTATAAACTATTACATAAATGATGGCACTATATGAACTAATAAGGAAAATGGCTCTAACTGCTACTATGTCTAGATGAACACAAATTACGACCAGACATGTCCGTACTGGCTTACACATTTACTACACAAACATAGGCGGTATCCATCCAACAAGAGAACGAATGTCCAATGCGCATGACTTCGGAAACACGGATGTTTTACGGCTCAATAATGCTTAAAGTATCTCTGCTACCGCAGTATATACACATATTACGAACCTAATTGTGTATATATGGCCAGGCGCATGACATGAAAGGGGCGTGGCACAGTCGCTGCCGTCATACCCTGGTGGCGTTTTTACAAACTCCTACCAATGCCTGAAACCCGTAGTAGAATCATCATCATTCATCATCAATATATGGGCATTTCCACTCTTGTTCGATAAATACTCATGCAGTAGTAGTAGTAACACGTACAGACACAGAGGGAGGGGTACGTGCACGGTAGACGTGCAAACACGTACACAAGTTGGACCTACACTTTTGATTCTTGGTCTTGTTACACAGTTCAGATTCGGCAGTGGACCCACTTACGTGACACGTAGATGTTACAGACATGGCTCAGTGACACTGTGGAAATGGAAGATCGTCTAAAAACATCAAACTCAGGTGTAGTGCCTCACTTCCCACTACATTTAATTACGGAATGTCACATATTCCTTCAGGAAGTCTCTTATTACTACAGGAAGTCTCGCGTTCCATACGTGTTAAATGACTGTCAAGAATTTATACTCCAATATACAACACTGTAAGCATAACGCACATACTTTTAGTCCTGTGTCCACAGCTGTAACTGGATCAAACATTCGTCTATTTCTCAATTCGAGCAGTATTTTACATGGTTGTTACCAAATGCTTCTATAAATTGGATATAGGTGATCTTCATGTTTAAGTTATTCGATAAATTTCAAGCATATACAAAATATTTAAAGAGTTCGCCTATTATCTAGCTGATGTTCGAAATACCGGTTATGCAAATATTCATTATTTAGGCTAACATTCCTATTCAGAAAATGTTTGAAGTACTATGGTTACGATTTGGAACACGCCGTGAAAGAAATAGCTCTGAATACGCAGGGAATACGGTATTCACGAAATGATACGACTATTCAATAAGGCCAACCTAACATATACACGTTCAGACCCATTATGATAACCTTTAACCTGCTGGAGAAACATAGACAGTGTGTATAGAATGAATGCCTACATGAGTGACAGTGGAAACTCCTGAGCACTATAGTTCAATAGCTAGTGCAGCAAGCACTGTCTACTTAATACTCTGAGTGATTTATATTCGATTATTACACTCCCGTGTGCAATGCTGCTGCAGTTCTGAGTGGCCAACGTTAGTGTTCACTGATACACGTATGGACGTACGATGCACCCTCTCTCACATCAAACTAACCCCCTAGTTATGTCATCACCCCCAACGATCAATACGATATACATTTATTTACACAAGCAACCTACAACTCTTACTTTTAATCTTGCCTAACTGGAACCTCCTACACTTTAAATATGAGACGCCGTGGAAAACTGAGAATGTGTGTTGGCCATGTTGTGATGAGCGGCACAGGTTTTGCACCATGCAAGGGTCCTAGCTGTCAACAAGTTAAATTACCCGCAACTCGCCACCTCAATAACTGCTTTATTTAATACACGACATGTAGAAACAAGAAGTTGGGCTCAATGTCCATGCACTAGTAAAGGAGATGTTTGTATTAGAAGACTTGGGGGAGCAATGAATGCTTGAAAGTCGAGATGAAAACGTCCACAAAGTGAATGCATATAAGTGCTTGCTGTGAGTCGAATTTGGATGCCACAGATTGACGGCGGAAGTGGATGGATGTAAAACCTGCAGTAGTTGTTCCGTATGTACATCCCAACTTGCTATTAGCTGCTTGGCAGCCCGTGACAGCATCGGCGATTACGTATACGGCGACGTACAGTGTACGGTAGTCAGCAATCTCATTGGCACGGCGCGTGTATGCTCGCACACATCCGCCAATTCTCCACACCAACGTCTGGAAGGGCCGGCTGCTGTGTCTATGAGGAGCTGCAGCCACAGTTGAATATCTCCATCTGCTTGACAACCGTAGGATCCTCGCCGACACAGTCTGTGTGATACCATAGCTCACACTGGTCACACTGCACCTATAACACATAAATACACACGGTTACTGATTTATCAGGCACACGTTCCAGGATCATGCCTGCCCGCTCATACTACATCTATATACATAACTATGACATAAACATCATGTCAAAATAGCATAATGAGATTAAATCACAGAATTTTTTTGAAACATTGATCACATACACCCAATGACGTCTACCAAGACCACGTAAATCACAGAGGGGAGGGCAGTTGCTGGCTGTGTTGATTGGCTTTTTTGGTGAATTAATTACCATGCAGCCAATCGGCGCAGCCAGGAACCTGTGTGGGCAGTTTGTGTGTTCATGGTAGCCGTCATCGGTTGTTTGGCATCAATGTTTTACATTTTTTCCGTGATTTAATCTCATTATGCTCACTTATAAAGCATTAGCCTTTAAGTAAGCAGAATGACCAATGCTTGGGAGCATAGCAAAGTTCTGGCATCTGTGGGTGGGTGTATAGTTGCGTGCGTGATAGCTCACCCAGTCGACGGCTTCTTGCTGAGGTTTGATGCAGCTCTGTCTTGCTGCACACTCATCCTCATCATAATGCCAGTAGTAGTCATCATTCACCTTCTTAACCTGTTTACCGGCAGTTGCTGGTGCATCTCCATGCGATGACAGCTTCTGTCTCCCTGCACACAAACAATCATAGTAATAGTAATAATAATAATAACAATAATAATGAATAATAATAGAAATAAATAATTCAAATTAATTAAATGAGTGTTATAAGCTAAGGTAGTAGGGTTACGATTATAAACCATCAACAGGAATTCGGGAAACATATTTCATGGAAAACATATAGAAACAACATCTGCCTACCTTTTGACTTGCCAGTGGCTCCCCTTCTCTTCCTCTTACCAGGCTGCTCTATGGAATCGGCGGACGATAACCGTCGCTTCTGTCCCAGCTTGCTCTGTCGCCCGCCCCGCCCCCGGCCGCGGCCCCGCCCTCGGCCACGCTTAGTCGTGGGTTGCACAGCGGGCGACCTTTCGGTAGTCACAACGACCGGCGATGCATTCCTGGAAGGGAATAGATGCACACTCACACTGTGGTGCAATAGACGGAGTGTGGACGAGCTGTATACTACAGAAATCCTACACGCTCCAATCGTGATCCACGCAAAACAGTCAAAATATAACGTAAGACACTATTGCTGAGAACGTGGTAACAAAATCGACGTGTCACTCCCACTGTATATTGCCAGCAAAGTGCAAGCATGTTCTACAACCACTGGCACTCAAACAGTTACAATTGTTTGCGGGACCCGAAATTCATTCCTACGTTTCTGGATCGTTTGAAACTTAATGAATTTCGACCGTTCACGGCATAGGACCCAGCGAATCAACCCCACGTGAGATTTCAGAATAGTAGATGTATCACGTGACAAAGCGTGACGATAGATAGTAGACAGTAAAAGCTGCATACCCGTCATCGGAGTCCTCGACCTGAAGAGACGACTTGAAGATGTCATCGTCGCTGTCGCTATAAACCTCTACACCTTCAGCCAACCTGAGTACATGCTGGTCTATATCTAAAATCACACACACACATAAACGTCACACAAGAGATCGTGGGACACCAAGTCTCGCAACTAGCCTGTGATACGTGTCACATACCATGCATTATGAAGCATTTAGTACAGACCTATAGAATCACCACCGGTTTATACATATGTTACATCTAACTGACGCAAGTAACAAACTACTTACAAGGACTTATAGTATTGCAACATGCAAATGGCAGAGGAACTATATGCTACCCACTTCTTTGCCAGTCATACATACAGACAGTGTGGTCCACTGAATAATTTAAAAACAATAATACATATTAATAAATTCATGTACTTGGTTAGATGTATGATGGTCAAGCAGACATTACCTTCCTCTGTTTCAAGAGCAGGGTGGTCCCTAGAAAAATCATCAGCTGAGTTCTCGCTGCACTCTGGCAACCTGAAACACATATATGTATATACATTCGCTATCTGTTACCACACGAGCACCAACTCCTCCCTCATACGTGGCGAGTGAACCCAGCTCTTGCACGAGCATGCTCGAGCCTCACTCCTGAGGGTTCACATTGCAATGCTACTGCGCACCATGGAAGGCTCCCCCTCCGTCTCCCCCAAGTTTCACCGTGAGACACGAGCGGAGGGGAAGGCACGACTCAACCCTCGAGCAAGCCTCCTACCTCAGCATGCCGTCGGAGTCTTTATCGACGACGTAGCACAGAGTCTCATCGAGTGACACGCGGTTCGTTCTCCCATTCTGCTCTGGCACTAGGATTGTCGTCGGAAACTCAACAATTTTGTCCTCGTCGCCGCCACGACTACCGCCACCCTCTGACTGAGCACTCTGCAGCTTATCAAAGGCGACTTCTATCGTTGGCGGTGATGACTTCAGTGGCGACTTCACCTTGCCTTTTTTCGGCGATGCTCGCCGCACTTTTTTAGAGCTCAACACTTCACTGGCACTTGAAGTGTCTTGCGCATGTTCACTTGTTTGCACGGCAAGTTGCGCATGAGACGCATCAACGGCGGGCTTGCTGTTCGAAGTTCTATCGGACAGTGCGCCATTACGACGCACACTAGCGTATGTCCTGTTGGCACAGTTGTCGTCTGATGTCGTCGTGCAGTCTTTTAGTGGCGTGCTATCCGAGGGGTGTCGCTCAAACTAAAACACCAACAACCCGATACAATGGCAATATCAGAAAACTTTCCACCCCGGGGATGGGGCATCCCACCCCGAGGCAGAGTCGATAGAGAGTCAACATGAAATGTGTCACTTGCCATACAATAACTATTCTCTCCGCCCTACTCATCCTTATGTACATCTGTTGTAAGAACTGCCAACATCAGATATGTACAGACACACACGCACGCACGCACGCACGCACGCACGCACGCACGCACGCACGCACGCACGCACGCACG